TTTAATTATAAATTAATGTACAAAAAAATATTATAATCACTTAATGTTATTAAAGGTAAAAAAACAAAATTGAAATTGATTAGATAATTATTAATTAAAAAATGTGACCACAAATTAAAAAATTAAAACAGATAAATTTGTCAATAAAATTAAAAAATTTTTATCCGCTAGCGGTTTGGTACAAAAAAGTTACATAAATTAGCTTTTTCAATCCGCTAACAGTTTGGACTCTAATTGCTATCCGTTAGTCTTAAACTGTTAAATAAAAATTTTACCAAACACTTTATTTGTAGCGGTTTTGAAATATAGAAATTTATCAAAAATCTATATTTAGCAATTTAGGTAAAATCACTAATCGTTACTGCAAAATCGCTATACCAAACGAGCCCTAAAACTTTAAACCGTATGTGTGAATTTCAATTATTGTAATTAGTTTTTTTTTAATAGTTACAATTTTTTAGGAAATGAGAAAGTATAATTTTCAAAATGTTAGTGAGGTTTGAAATCTCGACCAACAAACCTCAGCGCCTAAAAGTTTGGGATGAGTCACTAAAATCTAAAAATCAGGTTCAATTATTGTAATTAGTTTTATTTATTTATTTATTTTTACTTTGATTGCACAATAGAAGACAATTATCTCTTATCTTTTATCTCACTTCACTCGCATGTCATGCGACTCGAATATAGGACCTCTTACTTCTAGCGAAAGGAGATAATCACTTAATTATTTAAGTCGTTAGCTTTGTTAATTTAAATTATGTTGTGAAAACAATCTGTATAAATATAAATCTAATAAACTCTTAACAACAAGGGATTATAACTCAATTTTAACATGTACAACTTTAAAGTTTTCCTACAAATATTTCTAATTTTACGCAATTTTAGTTCCTCAAAAATTTTTATAATAAAAACCCAAACTTCAACGGTGTATTTCTTTATACCCTTTCAAATATTTATATTATTTCATAGCCTCCTCTTCATGTACACAATAATGTAAAGATTATTATCTAAAAATGAGTGTAATTTTGAATATGGTGAACAATGAAAATGAATTGATTGGCCAAAAAAGAAAAAAACAAGAAACCAGAAAAGGTAGATAAATTAGATTTCATGGTCTCAACCACACAAAATCATCACACGACAAAATCAACCCAATAAGAATGACACTGACACGGATGTGAAATTCAGGAAAAAAAAATTTTTGATGGGAGAGATTATCTATTGATCCTTATTCCTTCACGTACTGCAAACAATTTGTCTGCACGTAATGTTCATCTGGGATACAGTTGTGCTGCTTTCGAAGTTTCTACACATGATGGACAAGAATATCAATCACTTTCAGGGAAAAGAAGCATTATGTTTGAAGTAAAACTAGCAGCACAATCATATCAATGAGGTTTATGACTCTTAGAACATTCACACGAATCACATAAAGAAAAATTTATTTTATTGGATAATGGTAAATGAAAAACATTGATAATTTGTTTTAGGGTCTTCGTTAAAGGATGACCTAAGCATGAATACCAATTCGCCATAGTTGTTCTTACTCTCACTAGTGCTTGTGGTCTCGGATTAATTTTTCTTGGGATTTGGTAGATCCCATGAATGTTGGGCCCTCTTAGTAGTGTCTCCCTCGTGCATGTGTCCTTCACCAAAAAAAAAATTAGAGTGAAATTCCAAATAAACATTAGCAGTCTTGCATAATTAAGAAACTGAAATTAAATTTCGTGAAGCAAAGGGAACACAAAGAACATTGCGTAAAGGTAAAGAGGAAGTCAGAGTGGATAGTGTGGAGTGCCCCACATGAGTGATTTTCAAACCTGTACCATCGCCAATTTGCAGTTCATCAGGTCCATTGTATTCAGAATGGAGTGCTAAGTTGGTCAAGTCAGTGGTAACATGATTGTTGGCCCCAGAATCCAAGAGACAGTCATCAGAGAAGGCTACCGATGAAGAGGCAATATTCGCCATTGGACTTACTGCTTGCACACGATAATTTGGACAATTTTTGGCAAAGTGCCCAGTGTGGCCACATAGCTGACATGTGAAGTTACCAAGTCTGTTATTGAATTTGGGTCCAAAGCAACACTTCCGATTCCCATAGTTCCTGTTGGTGGAGTTTTGGGCACCCCTGTTTCCACGATTTGATGGCTGCAAAAAACCAGAGTTCCTATTTTGTGAGGAGCTGGTACCCATAAAAGAGGAAGAATGCATACCAGAACTAGACGCCATCGGGGCAGCAGCAAAGTGAGCAGTTGCTGGAGTTAAATTAGCTCGATTTTCTTCCCTATGAAGGCTCTCTTCATGAGCAACAAGTCGGTCATGCAAATCATCAAATGAAAGAGATGAATCGTGAGCTCTGAGAGATGTAGCAATCTCTCTAAATTCTAGTCCCAAGCCGTTGAGGATGTACACCGTGAGATCATCGTCAGTCAATGGTCGATCCACAGTTCCAAGTTAATCAGCAACTGTTTTCAAGTCTCGTAGATATTCCAAGACGGAGCGCCCAGCACGTTTCATGTTTTGAAGTCGCTCCTTCAGTGTGATTACCCGAGTGCGGGAACAATTAGCATAGAGTTTGGCCAATGTTTCCCACGCCTGTTGCGTTGTAGCAGCAGCAGCAGCAATGTAAGGGGTAATATTCTCCGAGACTGAGGTGATGAGGGCATGGCGCAGAAGTTGATCTTGGCCTGCCCATAAGCTATATTCAAGTGCTGTTGCAACTAAATAGGGATTTTTGCCATCAAGATAGCCGTCAAGTTCATAACCTGCAAGCAAAGAGGTAAATTGAGCCTTCCAAGATAAATAATTTGTGGGAGTTAGTTTCACCGGAAAAGCGACTGAGTTGAAGGAAAGTGGGCAATTGGTTAGGCCTGGGTTGAGGACAGTGACAGCAGCGGTTGTGGAGGTTTTTGAGGTAGCAGAGTTTGGGGAATCATTGGAAGTGGCCATGATCGGAACTCGTGAGAGTGATAATGGCTCTGATACCACTATTAGGATACAAGACTCATGTTTCTGAAGGTTGTTTCTTATTCACACAAACTTTCACAATATATACAGAGTCTCTACAATTAGAATCCAAATACAAAAGGAAACTGAATATATAGATTTGATACAATAGTAATAACCGACTTATTCAGTAAATCTAAGATTTGATTTGCTTTGAATTACTGTCCTTGATGCATATATGGCATGGAAGCTTGAGCTGTTTCTACTCAACATGCTACTAGTTACAAAATATATAAAGAATAAAAATTAAAAATTAGAAATCAAAATTATATTAAATAGAACCTAAATTATATTGTAAAGCTATAAAATAAAAATAAAATAAGAA